AGCTAATATTATATAGGGATTTTTTCGTTCCTATACACTATTTGAAACTTTATTATAAAAAATGTCCATGTTTAGTTATTTACCTGACCTAAACAAGTTTTAGCTACAAAATATATACATTTATTTAAACTAGTATCCTTTCTGCGGTAGTCTTCCTTATTTAGATGAGGGATTTTGGGATCATATATATTTCAATTAGAGATTTTACTGATGCAATCATCGCACCTTAATCAAGCCAATGTATTTGTAGAATCCTGTTATTACGCCAATTTCCTCTGATTATCACCATAATCAAGTTCCATTCTCTGATTTTCTCTATTTCCTCTGGTTTTCCATAAACGAAGGTTTCGGAAAAAAATTGCAAATAATTAGCTACAATTCTATTGAATTTCGCGACATAATGTCAAAATTAGTGATTATGCTTCAGCTAAATGGTCACTGGGATAGCATTGGGAGATACAAAGATTTTGATGTTGATGGAATTGTAGTAAATGAATATTCAAATTATAGTCAATTGAATTTCGCAATTGCAGAGCGTCTAATGATCGATACCTCCGGAAAAATCATCGAAATCAAATACACTGTCAACGAACATTGTCCTCCAATGGAAATTCGGAACGATATGGGAGATCGAGTATATATGGAGACGAAAAAGGAAAACAAAAACTTAGGATTGTATCAACTGTGTATAACAGCGCGTGATTTTGATTTGGAATGCAGTATCTCTAATTCGAGGACAATTGCAGGTTTGCCCTGTTTTTTCAGTGCTGATTTTTAGTCAATTTCACGTGTTCTACAATTTTACTACAACTTATCTACAATAATACTGCATAACAAATGTAGTTCAATTGTTATGTCTCTTCAAGTATTCTGTCAAATACTAAACACATAAATATACAAAGGTCTGAATTGTAGATACTTTTAATTGAGTGGAGGTTCATCTGATTATCATATGTCTAACGTGGTACAATTGTCAAGTAATTGTAACACAATTGGAGAAGTATCAGGAACAGTGAATTTGATTGATAGGCCAACATCTCCGGCAATTGTGGAATATGAAAGTATCATCATAACATGTCACGACCCAAAATTCCCACCGTCGAGATCGTGATGGTGCCTAACATTTCACTTTCTAGGCAAGCTGACGTTAGAACAATTTATCCTTTTTAACAGTTTAAAATTAAATAATCCAAAGTAAATAATACGGAAGCTAAAATAGCCAAACATTTATTACATCCCTGAACCCGGTGTCACAAGTGTACGAGCTACTAGATTAATACATACAAGGGTCTGAAATAAGTACAAAGTTGTCTGAATGAAAATACCCAGCTAAATAAAAACAAAGAAGGGGACTCCAGGAGCTGCAGCGTTGAGCAGTTGTACCTGAAGTCTCCACTGAGCTGATCAATCCAAGCACACTAATAGCCGCCGCTAGGACCGACTCCAAAAGCTGCTTGAAGTGCAGAGTGTAGTATGAGTATAACTGACCCCATGTACTCTGTAGGTGCCGAGTCTAACCTCGACGAAGTAGTGACGAGGCTAAGACGGGTCACTCACACTACAATCTGTACGCAGTATATAATAAAGGCAGAAAAAGAAAATACGGAACATGATAAGAAAAGTCAATTGCAAATAATAACTACAACCTCAAGTTATAAACCAGTGTCGTCCAGAATTACCAATCCTTAACATTTCAAATGATAATACCGAAAACCAACACAACTCAAGAAATGGAAACACATAGGTTGTTGCGGCGCGTAACCCGATCCCACCGTACAAAATGAAATCCTCCCTAATTTCACCATAATAACACCAACAACATAGATAATATATAAATGTTGCGGCGCGCAACCCGATTCCACCATATATCAATATCAGTATCATAATTCACCCTTATTTCACCATATCAATCCACCCTTATTCCACCTGTTGCGGCGTGCAACCCGATCCCACCATATCAGTATCAAATACTCAATGTACACAGTCAAATTAACAATTCAAATCACGAAAACCTTTACGATCAATCAATACCAAACTGAACTAAAAAGGACCTTGTACAACACAGGAATCTACATAAGTAATACTACTCAGCGAGACTAATCCAGTAATTTATAATTAGAAGGTGCTAGTAAGTCAATTTAGTCAACTAGTAAGGAATCATGAAACTATGAAAAGGTCTAACATCATTAACAGGAGAAGACATTGAGTAATAGGTAGCAGTTAAGCATGGAAAGCATTTAGAGCATATAACAGTTAAGACAGGAAAAGAGGCAATTAAGGAAAAGCGGAAAATCAGGTAAAACAGATAATTTGGCGGCGTATAAGCACTCGTCACCTCGCATATACGCCGCTCACATAAAATTCACATAGCACATAGTACGAGGGTTCCTAATTCCCTCAAGTCAAGGTTAACCACGATGATTACCTCACTCCAAAGACCACTCAAAGCTCAACCACAGTCAACAAAAATCAACTCCCGGGCCTGCTTGGTCCAAACACGAAATTTGGACCAAAATCCGATTACGCATTCACCCCTGAGCCCGGTTATGTAATTTGTTTTGGAATCCGACTTCAATTTGAGGTGTAAATCCCAATTTTACAATAATCTCTAATTCTACCCAAACCCCCAAATTTCCACCATGAAAACAGTAGATTTTAGGTTGAAAACTCTTGAAATGTAATGAAAGATCAAAAGAAAATAGATTAGGATCACTTACTATTGATTTGGGGAAGAAGGGTGCTTGGGAAAGGGTTTTCTTGATTTGAAAATTTGAAGAATGAGTGAAAATCCCATTTATAAGCTATTTGATCAGTCGCAGGTGTCGTATTAAATGCGAACAAGTCTTCGTAAATGCAAAGAGTCACCAGTCCTGCTGCATTCGCAAATGCGAACATAATGTTCGCAAATGTGGACCTATGGGGATCGCAAATACGACCCATGATTTGCAATCGCGAAAGTCCACCCCCAGCCCACTGCTCGCAAATGCGATGCTTCCTTCACAAATGCGAGGCTCGCAAATGCGAAGTTTGTAGAATGATGCAGCAGCAACTATGTTTTCTAAGTTCAATTCATTCCGTAGCCTATCCGAAACTCACCCGAGCCCTCAGGGCTCTATACCAAACATGTACACAAGTCCAACAACATCATACAAACTTGCTCACGTGATCAAATCGCCAAAATAACACCTACAACTATGAATTGAACACCAAATCAAATGAAATTTTCAAGAAAACTTTGAAACTTCTATTTTCACAACCGGACGTCCGAATCACGTCAAACCAACTCCGTTTCTCACCAAATTTGACAGACTAGTCATAAATACAATAATGGACATGTACCGATCTGAAACCAAAATACAGACCCGATATCACAAATTCAAACATCGGTCAATTCTTAAAAATCATTAAACTTTCAAACATTCAATTTATGATAAATTAATAACTCGAGCTAGGGACCTCCGAATTCGATTCTGGGTATACGCCCATGTCCCAAATTATGATACGGACCCGCCGTGTCCGTCAAAATACGGATCTGTGTCCGTTTGCTCAAAACGTTGACCGAAGTCAACTCAAATGAATTTTTAAGGCAAAAATTCTTGTTTTTATTAATTTTTAACATAGAAACCTTCCGGAAAAACACTCGGACCACGCACGCAAATGGAGGAAGGCTAAAATGAGGTATTTATGGCTTTACAGCACAAAATTGGATTCTAAAACATAAGATAACCTATCGGTCATCACATAACAGAACATACGCCAAATGTTATTGAAGTAGGCCATGTTTACCAAGATAAACAAACAATTGTCAGTGAAATGAAGCACTATTATGTCATGAATAAGTTTCAATTTAAGGTGAAAAGGTCTAGTGCAAGAAGGTAGGAACATTTAATTTGTCAAATTCATATTTTTTTATAATTTGTAGTTTATTCGTATATAAATTGTATATAAATTGTTTAATATAAAATTTTGTGCTTAAACAACATCATATTTTGTAGCTACATTTTTCATAACATTTTTTGAATTGTTTTTATTTTGTAGCTAGTGCCTCGTATGTGTTGGGGACAATTGTATATGCACTTCAAGTCCACCAGCATAAACGAATTAATATTGTTCAAGTTTTAAAAATTCAACAGCTTGCACACATGCTCTTTGATGGACAACACATACATACAACGCAAACCTACTGCCATGGTAGTTGGTCGCATGGTTATGCCAAAATATGCGGATCCTAAGACAATATACATACCAAAAGACATACAAACTCATATGTTATCGGATCATGGTGTGAACTTAATGTACATGCAAGCTTGGAGAGCAAAAGAAAGGGCTTTGGAATTTTGGAGAGGTCATCCTGCGGATTTCTACGGTCACTTGCCGAGTTATTTGTATATTCTGGAGAAGACTTATCTGGGGTCGGTAGTGAAATTGAAGAAGAATGAAGATGACTGTTTCTTGTATGCATTTGTTGCACTTAGTACGTCCATCAAGGGTTGGGAGTATTGTAGGCCAGTTGTAGTATTTGATAGCACCTTCTTGAAGTCGGCATATAGGGGAATCATGTTAACAGCTAGCATAATGGATGCAACAGGTATTATAGATGAATTATAAAAATATTATTATAAAGTTGTTTTTGAGTCTGTATTTTTATAATCTCAAGTTTTATTACAGAAATTGAATTTCTTTTTGCCACCTGTGTGATAGGTAGCATATTACCACTAGCATACGATGTTGTTGATTTAGAAAATGACGTATCATGGAGGTGGTTTTTTGAGCAATTCAAACATGCATATGGTGACAACCCAAATGTGTGTGTTGTTTCGAATCGGAATGAGAATATCTTGAAGGCAACATCTACTGTTTATATCGGCATGCCACATTGTGCTTACATGTGACATATTTGGACAAATGTAAGCTCAACGTTCAAGAAGGGTCATCTAAAGTTAAGCAAATTGTACTTTGCCACGGCATGATCATACACGCTTGATGAATTTAATGAAAGAATGTCAAAGATTGAAGAGATCGACACGCATGTTAAAGTATACCTATATGATATTGGCTATCAGAAATGGTCTCGGGTACATGCTACGGTGAACAGAACGTGGACAATGACATCAAACATTGCAGAGTCATTGAATGCGGTAACCAAAGATGCAAGGGAGCTGCCCGTAGTAGAACTATTAGAGTACATGAGGACTCTTCTTGAACGTTGGACTAATGAAAAGTTATTGAATTCAAAGGGTACGTTCACATACATTGGGAAAAAACAACAACAAAGAGTTGGAGGACAACAGGACATTATTGCAGAAGATGAGAGTAAGCTATAGCCAGTAACATCAGATCATTGATTCCATCAAACTAAATATATACTGTTAATTGTAGAAAAGTTGTTGTATAATTGTAGTTATTTTGTTTTTATATCTATTGATGACAACTTGTTGTGTGTTTGTAATAAAATTGTAGGTGAAGGCTTCAAAATATCACATCCATACAGTGATAGATGGTGTGAAGCGCTTCATTGTTTGCCTTCAAAACAAGAGATGTAGTTGTGGACAATTCCAGCTTGATGAACTTCCTTGTGCACATGCTTTGGCAACTTTGAGGCACATGAACGAGTCTTATAAAAATTATTGTTCTCCTTATTACACGAGGGAGAGCCTTTTGCAGACTAATGGAATACTAGTAGACCCGCTGCCTGACGAAAGCAAATGGAATGTGCCACAACATATAGCTGAAGAAGTTGTAATGCCACCTACTGGGAACAGACAGCAAGAGAGACCTCAAAAACAAAGATACAAACCATATGATGAAGTAAATGCAAAGAAATACAAGGTTTCATGTGGCAACTGCGGACTAGAAGGGAATAACAAAAGATCTTGTAGGAATGCTTCCAAAAGGAAATAAAAATTGATACAGTCACAAGTTTTTTTTTCCTGAGTATTGTTGATGATAATCTGTCCTTTAAGACATATGAAGTTGTATTTGTTTTGTTCTAGAGAATTTTAGTTGTGGTGTAATTGTGTTGCTAATTTGAATAAAGACTGTCTCCTATATGAAATGTTTGATAAAAAGATTTCAACTCTTAATGCAATTGGTTTGTAGTTGTTTTGTTCAAATACTGAGTTTATTTATTACTTTTCAGCCTTTCCTAACAACACTGCTTAAAATTGAATGAATTATGTATTTTTGTATAGTAGTTGTAGACATAATTGTAGTTAAACTGCAAAGAAATTATATGGTAGTAATATCGAGATCAAGTACTAACAACTTTCAATCACAAAAAAGTGTAACGACCCGGCCGGTCGTTTTAAGAATTTACGCCCCGATCCCCTATTAACTGCTTTCCCCGTGTTTGTTTCTGCTATTGTGAATTTCCGGGAGGATTTATTTGGAGTTCCGGAGAGTTTTGGGACACTTAGTCCCTAAATGAGAGTTTAAGCTTTAGAATTTGGACCGTAGTCGGAGCAGCATGAAGACGGCCTCGAAATGGAATTCCGTCGGTTCCGTTAGCTCCGTTGGGTGATTTTGGGCTTAGGGGCGTGTTCGAATTGTGTTTTGGGGGTCCCTAGCTTAATTAGGCTTGAAATGCCGAAAGTTGAATTTTCGAAGTTTCCGGTTCGATAGTGAGATTTTGATATCGGGGTCAGAATGGAATTTTGCAAGTTGGAATAGGTCCTTTGTGTCATTTGGCAAGTGTGTGCAAAATTTCAGGTGAATCGGGCAAGGTTTGGCAGACTTTTTGATCAAAAGCGGATTCGGAAGTTTTTAGAGTTCTTAGGCTTGAATCTATGGTTAATCGATGTTTCAATGTTGTTTTAGGTGTTTTGAGGATTGGTACAAGTTTGGAAGGTGGTATATGACTTGCTCGTGCCTTTGGTTGAGGTCCCGAGGGCCTCGGGGTGATTTCGGGTGGTTAACGGGTGATTTTGAATTGAGTTTGGCAGCTGAAGGAGTTCTGTTGTTGTCATAATCGCACCTGCGGCTAGGGGACCGCAGGTGCGGGCCCGTAGAAGCGGAAGGCTAGCCGCAGATGCGGAAGTTGGCATGAAGGGCTGAAGCGCAGGTGCAGATGACTGTTCGCTACTGTGGAACCGCAGGTGCGGAAGGTGAGGCGCAAGTGCGGAATTTTGGTTTTAAGCGAAAACTGCAGATGCGACGCTTGGGCCGCAGATGCGGTATCGCAAGTGCGTTGTGGGGATCGCAGGTGCGAAAATCCTGGGTCAGAAAAAATAAAAGGTTTCCTTCGCGAATCTTTGGTTATTTCACCATTTTTAAAACGGCTTTGGAGCTTTTTGGGAGATTTTGAAGAGAGAATTCAAGGGAACTTCATTAAGGTAAGATTTTTGAACATAAAACTCGATTCCTATGGTGTTATTTCACGGATTAGGCTTGCAATTGATGGAAAATTAATGGTTGAAATTGAAGAACTAAGGCTTGTAATTGGAGACCAAAATTTAGGGTTTGAGGGGTCATTTGTGGTTGGATTTCGGTAATTTTGATATGCATGAACTCGTGGGAGGATAATAATTCCATTGATGTAAATTTTACCCGATTCCGAGACGTGGGCCGGGGGGGAGGGTGTTTTGGTCATTATTTCTAATTTCGCGTATTAGCTTAGAATTAATTAGTTGAATTAGTTACTTGAAGTGTTATTTACATTATGCAATTACTTTGAATAGATTTGGGCCATTTGGAGTCGAATACTCGTGGAAAGAACGTGGTATAGAATTGATTGAGCTGTTTGAGGTAAGTGGCTTGTCTAACCTTGTGTGGGGGAACTCCCCTTAGGATTTGGTACTATGATATCTGAAATGCCTTGTACGTGAGGTGACGAGCGCGTACTTGTGCTGATTGGTGAAAATCCTGTTTTCCATTTAAGTATCTATATTTCGTATTTTACTTCACTGCTTACACTACTTGAACTTTGAGCTTACTGTTAGCTTAGGAAAGCATGCCTAAATGACTAAATTGCCTACTTGCTCAAACTGCCTTATCTGAACTCTGTGCAGCATGCTAGGTTAGAATTACCTGTCTATTTGATAGTAAAATTGAATTGAGTTGATTATTCTTGTGTTGTTGCTGCGTGTTTACATTGGGACTACGGGCGGTTCCCGGTAGATTCCCCTTGTCTATTTATTTGGGACTACGAATGTGGTATTCTGGTAGATACCCCTGCACAGTGATATGGACTACGGGACAGCACCCGGGAGATCCACTAATTATTTACTTTTGGGACTACGGATGTGGTATTCCAGTTGATCCCCTTGTACAGTGATATGGACTACGGGTGTCATGACCCAATTTCCATACCCGATCGTGATGGCGCCTCTCGTGAAGACAAGGCCAGCCAACTAACCCAATCCGTTTCTTTAACAATTATTAAACATAAATGTATAGATAAATATAGCTTAACGACAATAATAACCAGTATGTACAACCCAACACAACCCGACCGGGGTGTCACAACTCACGAGCATCTAAAGAAAACCTTAACACAACTACATGCCAATAAATATATACAAGTAAAGTTTCTGGAAAACAAAAGACAACATCCGGTGCCGCGAACGCTGGCGGTCACCTTGCTCAGCTACAATAATAATACCTTCAATCCGCTAATAACCCGCTACCGGGTGAACGATACCTGCAACTGCACGCGAGGTGCAGGGAGTAAAGTGAGTACTTCCAACTCAGTGAGTAATAGAAGTAAATAATAACTGAGCAGCAAGAAATCACGTAAAGCAACCAACGGGTTGTACAGAAGCCGGGTACAATTTCCGAGAAAACAGTGAAATCAGAGTATTCTTTAGAAATGTTTCGGCTCAGTTCAAATCTCTTTCGAAAATGGTCCTTTCAATAATTACGGAACTGTTCAAAATAGTTAATGCTGATTAACACAGAAAATCCTCCCCTCGGGCACAAATATCACAGCATAGCAGGTAATAATACAAATAAGTATGCAAGATGAACACATAAAAGTTCGCCCCTCGGGCACGAATTTCGTTACTAGTCAGTCATTGTTACCTGACCGGTCAGCCATTGTTATCTGACCCAATGCGTGTTTCAGTGCCATTGTTACCACTGGTCAGCCATTGTTACCTGACTGGTCAGCCATTGTTACCTGACCAAAACACGAATGACAGTGTCATTGTTACCACTGTCCAATTCTAAATGGGTACCCGCGCTCACTGTGGGTGTGCAGACTCCGGAGGGGCTCCTACAGCCCAAGCGCTATATCAACATAAGGCCTGAAAGCCTGTACATATCAACATGAGGCCTGAAAGCCTTCTCACAATACACTCGAGGCCTGAAAGCCTCCTCACATCACTCGACATATCCTCACATATGGCCCTCGGCCTCAATCAGTCCAAAAATAATCATAAGCCCCTCAGGCATCAGTAAAGACAATAATGCTCAGCCCAAACAATAGTTCAAACATCAGTTAAAACTCAAGGTTGAGTAAAAATATAGCCGAGTTCATGAAACAGTGTAATTCAAATGGACTGAGTTCAAATAATATTTCAAACAATGAGGAAAACAGTGATGATAGTTCATAAAGAGTTCAAACAGTCGGCAATAAGCCCCAAATATGGCAATAGGCCCAAATCATAGTGAAAACAACAAGTCATTGCTAATACGCGGTAAAATATCATCCGTACTGGACCAAATCACAGTCCCCAATAGTAAATGACCCCGCGCTCGTCATGGAACGCGTGTCTCATCTCAACATAGCACCAAGTTGTGCAAATCCGGGGTTTCAAACCCTCAGGATATCATTTACAATCATTACTCACCTCGATCCGGCGAAATCTCTAGCCCGCGACGCCTTTGCCCCTCGAATCGGCCTCCACGCGCGTCGAATCTAACCAAAATCAGAGCGAGTACATCACAATTTGCCAAGGGAACGATGCCCAATCGAAAACAATCGAAATATAGCAAAAATCTCGAAACTAGCAAAACCCGAGCCCCGGGCCCACTTCTTGAAAAATTACAAAACTCAAATTACCGGATTCCTCGTCTCGCCACGAGTCCATACATATCAAGTTTACCAAAATCGGAGTTCAAATACCCTTTCAAATCCCAAATTTTCATTTAAAAAACCAAGCCCTAGTTCTTCCAATTTTTACACAAATTTCCAAGAATTAAAGGTTGATTCTTCAATAAAAATGACGTTTCTAGGTCACGAGACTTACCTCCAATTGATTCCCGTCAAATCCTCTTCAATCTCTACCAAAAAGCTCTTAAGGTGGTCAACAATGGAGGAAATCATCCCAAGCTCGCGGATGAAATATTGAATAAAAACCCTCCTAAACAGTCCAGTTTTCGCTTCTGCGGTCCCCACGCCTGCTTCCGCGTGACCGCTTCTGCGGTCCTTGTCCGCTTAAGAGGAAATTCATTAAATCACAAGGGTCGCTTCTGCGACACAATTTCTCGCTTCTGCGAAGTCTCACCTCCAAGCCCAAACCGCTTCTGCGACTTCTTGTCCGCTCCTGCGGACTCGCTTAGGCGAAAATACTTCCGCTTCTGCGGAACTGCTCAACCTCATCCTATTCCGCACTTGCGATGCTTTCTCCGCTTCCGCGCAACCGCATCTGTGGTCTCCTTTCCGCAGATGCGGAAATACCTGCTGCAGCCAAGAACCTGCAATTACCAACTTCAAATTTTCTTCCAATGGCCACCCGAAATCACCCCGAGGCCCCCGGAACCTCAACCAAAAACACCAACACATCCTAATACCTTATTCAAACTTGTTCCAATCCTCAAAACTCTTCAAACAACGCTAAAACCATCAAATCACATCGGATTCAAGCCTAAGTTTCTTAAAAACTTCCGAATTACGCATTCGATCAAAAACCCGACCAAACGATGTCCGAATGACCTGAAATTTCACACACATATCCAAAATC